TATATATATATATAGTACATGACTAACAATCAGTGGCCCATGTACTCACACTAAACAACAACTAAATATTTTACCTAATTATATTTTTTAAAATATTTTTCCATTGTTGTTTGACTTTATTTTAAACTACATATATACTAGTAATTTTTATCTTCGTGTTAATTGTGCCTTCGTTACTAAAGTGCATTTTGTGCCTTCTACTATCTGTCACTTTAATAATTCAAAAGCACTAAGAAGTGTCACACACAAAGGAACATTTAACTCATTAAAGTATTGGGAGTACCAGTCCACTTCAAAGTTGGGGATATTCAAAATTTATGAAGTCATGAATTAATATCTAATAAATCAGATATACTAAGCAGTGTCGTACACAAACAAATGTTTAACTCAGTGTTGGAAGTACCACTTCATAGTTGATCAGAATAATGCCAAATGACCCAATGTTTAATATCTCATATAGATAGACATGCATCTCATAAAGTAGTAAAAGTTAAACAAACATGTCTACTGCAACAACAAATTACAAATGTCAATGACAGCAAGGAACCGTTCAGCTAACGCTCACAATGCAGTTCATGTAGTTGAGATTCTAAGAAAGTATAAGCAAAGTTCTGGCCAAATGGTTAATTTAGATAAATCAGCTATTTGTTTTAGTAGAAATGCAACGGAGAAGGAGAAAATCGAGATATTTTCCTTACTTGGACAACAACAAAGAAATGAGATGAGTATATATTTAGGATTACCAGTTATTGTGGGACGCTCAAAGAAAAAGATGTTAAAGTTTATTAAGGATAGAGTCAAGACAAAAATAAAAGGATGGAAGGGTAAATTTTTAAGTAGAGCAGGGAAAGAAGTAATGCTTAAATTTGTACTTGCAGCAATCCCTACCTATGCCTTGTCTTGCTTCCAACTCCCTGATGGTCTGTGCAAGGAGATTACATCTCTTTTTTCTAACTTTTGGTGGGTACAAACTGAGGATAAAAGGAAGATGCATATTGAGAAATGAGAAAAATTATGTGATTCTAAATCAAGAGGGGGCTTAGGATTTAGGGATTTAAAGGCTTTCAATAGGGCTTTGTTAGCTAAACAAGCTTGGCGTATATTGTCGTACCCGGATTCGTTGTTAACAAGAGTTCTTAAAAGCAAATACTTTTCACACTCAACTTTCCTTGATGCTTCCACATCATTTACAGGATCATGGATCTGGAGAAGTATTTTCTGGGGAAGAGATCTCTTAGTTACTGGACTAAGGTGGAGGATCTCTGATGGGAAAAATATAAATGTTTGGATTGATCCTTGGATTCCAAGAAAGAATGGTTTTACTCCAAAAAATATTCAAATGCAAAACAATTTAGATTTTAAGGTTGCCGACTTAATTGACGAAGATACGCATACCTGGAAACTTCATAAGATAAGTACGACCTTTGAACCTGAAGATGTAGATGCAATTTTGTCTATACCAATATCCATCATAGGTCTTAATGATAAATTACTGTGGCATCACTCAAAATCTGAAAACTATGAAGTTAAGTCAGGTTACTATTTAGCAAAGAGTTTGGCCGGTAAGACTATTAGGAACTCGGAAGCCCAGACGAGTTGTCATTCTTTTTCTAAAAGCTTCTGGGATTCTTTGTGAAACTTAGAAATTAAAAATAAACTTAAACATTTTCTAAGGAAGTGTGTGATTAACTCTTTGCCCGTTAATTATACCTTAGCTAAAAGATTACAGAACCTGGATAAAACGTGTAAGATTTGTGGTCTTGAAAGTGAAGATATAGAACATATGCTATTTAGATGTCCCCGATCTCAGTTTGTATGGAAACAAAGTCCTATTAATTGGCCTGATATTGATAACATAACTGACTTTTCTATGTGGTGGTACAACTTGTTCTTAAATGCTAAGCACTTTCCTGAATCTACTGAATTATTAGATTTGAGTGTTAATCTTATGTGGCAAATTTGGAAAGGTAGGAATGCTTGGTGCTTTAATCAGGAAATGTTAGAGCCAACTGAGATTGTTTCTAAAGCTCTTTTTGAGTATGAAGAATATAAAGATCTATTTACTAGTTGCCTCGCTGTACGACATTCAACTGGAAATGAGTTTCTGCCTAAACCAACAAATTTTCATGATGATGTTTTATTATTTACAAACGCAAGATTACGGTGTGATGATCAACATGCGAGTATTGGTGTCGCGGCTTTGAATAGCCTTGGAAAACTGCTTCATGCCCATGGATCCTCAATTCAATATGTTGGAAAAATCATGACTGCTAAAGCGATTGCCATAAGAAAGGCACTTGAATGTGCTATTACTCTTGGATGGAAAAGTGTGAAGATTATATCTGATGCTAAGAATGTTGTTGATATGATCCAAAAACAGGTGGCTACTTCATGGGAGATAGAAGTGTTGTGTGAAACCATTTGGAAGCTATCAAGCATGTTAGATCACGTCGAGTTTCTTTATATTCCAAGGAAGTTAAACAAAGCAGCGTATAGTTTAGCTAAATTTTCTATTTCTTTGTTGAAGGACATCTCCTGGGAGAAGTTTTTCCCAACTTAGATTATCCAGGATGCAAAGAGTACATTTGAACTTTGTTGTTCGTTGATGCAGTAATGAGAAGTCTTTGTTTTGGAAACAAAAATGACAGCAAGGAACCTATGATGTATCCCACACTGCTTTGTTGTACTCCAGAAATATTTGTTTGGTTAGGTATCTTGATAGTATAGAGCATTTTAATTGAAGGCGTTCTAGAACAAAAGTTTTATCTTTTTTTTTTCTACTACACAGAAGTGCGCCTAATTCGTCGTCGAGAACCTCTCTAAATGTTGAGATAACATCGCTAATGGCAGCTATGGTAGTTGGTTCTGGTCTCTCTCATAAAGAAGAAAAAGAAAGGAAACTTCTAGGTTTTCAGACAAAAGATAACATTTCGGATACTTCTAGGTCAATAACACATTTGGACTTCCCTCTTTTGATCTCTCCACGTGTCCTCATCTCAACGGATGTGCAAAAACATGATAGATTAAATAATAACCATTTAGATGAAGAACACCATAGCTTATTCTATAACTACACAACACTAGATCCCAAACTTCAAAATCTGTCACATGGGATATGTACATAGCAAAAGAATATTCTTCAGTTATATTTTGTTATTAGCTAGCAAATAGGATTTAGACACATGTATAGGTGGTTATTTTGATTCTTTTATTCTTTCATAGAATAATCTTATATATAGATTGTCTCTGTACAGAATGAATACACAGAAAACTTCCACAAAATTGTCTCGATTTCTTTTACAGTCTTTCATGGTATCAGAGCAGTAGCTCTTTCTGGGAAAAATCAGCTTCTTTCTCCTCACTTTTCTGCGTCATAACCCTTCACCATGACTGGAACAACAGACACCATTGTTGCTCAGTCTTCCTCTGCTAATGCAGTCAATTTTGATCCAAATAACCCATGCTTTCTCCACTCATCAGATGCACCAGGTATGAGTCTTGTGAATGCAGTATTTGATGGAAGAGGCTTTCAAGGCTGGAGGAGATCAGTTCTGATTGCTTTTTCTGCAAAGAACAAGTTGGGGTTCATTAATGGAACATGCCCTGCTCCTGCTATCACTTCCAATGAGTATCAGCCATGGACAAGATGCAATGACATGGTGACTTCCTGGTTACTAAACTCACTATCCAAAGACATTGGAGATAGTGTCATATATTCCAAATCTGCTAAAGAGCTTTGGACCAGTCTTGAGCACAGATTTGGAAGGTCAAATGGAGCTAAGTTGTATCACCTACGCAAAGAACTATCCAGTTTAGTACAAGGAACAAGTGATATAGCAGGGTACTTCACAAAGCTCAAACGTCTATGGGATGAATTAGACTCTTTAATCTGTGATGTTAAGTGTGTTTGTGTTTGTGTGTGTTCTGGAAAACAAAAACTGGAAAAATCCCCAGAAGATGAAAGACTTATACAATTTCTTATGGGTCTAAATGATGTCTATGGACAGGCAAGGGGAAACATTTTGATGATGAACCCTTTACCTAGCTTAGATCTTGCTTATTCTCTGGTATTGCAGGATGAGAGTCAGAGAGAGATCTATATGAATCCCCTTCTCTCTGCTGATTCTTCATCCTTCATGGTGGGCACTCAAGATAACCTTGCAGCACAAGGAAATTTTGTGCAAAGGAACAACAAACAAGGCCAAAGAAACACTGGGCAATTTCAACAACAATCTCAGAAATCAGGGAACAACATGCAATTCCAAAGATCAGGAAGTAATATGCAAAAAAATGGGAACACTCCACAAAGAAACTTTATTGCAAAAGGAAAGAAGCACAAGTTCAATCCTAACTTATCTTGCACCCATTGCAAGAAAATAGGACATTCAGTGGGAGATTGCTATAGAATCATTGGTTTTCCTGAAGATTTTGAATTCACCAATCCTAGAGGTTCTCAAGTTCAATTCAGAAGCAATGGAGCTATAACAGGGGATCAAGGAGTGGATGCAAGCAACTATTCTGAAGTTCTAAATCAGCACCTTTCCAAGGATCAATTTTCACAATTAGTCCAGATAATAAAGCAAGTAAAAGTTCCAGATGCAGGGAGTTTCAATTCATAAATCAACACAAATGCAGTAGCTGGTACTATTATGAAATACACTGGAAGTTGTTTTGCAGTTTTTAACACTAACACTTGGATAATTGATTCAGGAGCTTCAGAACATATGTGTATTGATTCAAATGCTTTCATTTCTTTAAAATCCCTTCCAGTTCCTTTACATATAAATCTGCCTAATTCTTTTAAGGTGACAGTCACACATACTGAAAAAATTCCTATCTCTGCTGAATTCATTTTAGAAAATGTTCTTCATGTTCCCAGTTTCAAAGATAACCTATTATCAGTCAATAGGTTTTGTGTTCAATTTCACTACTTAGTCTTATTTACTCATAATCTGTGTCTCCTGCAGGCCCCTTTAGTGAAGAGGGCTCAAGTTTTTGGTGAAGAAAAGGATGGATTGTATCTGTTGAAGCCTAGTGTTGATAGGTTTAGCTCAAAGGAGAAAAGTTTTTTATCTTCAAATCAAAGTGTTCTTAGTCCAGTTTCAGTTGTTTTTCCTTTTTCTGCAAATGCAGCTTCTGATGTAAACCTTTGGCGCATTAGATTGGGGCATTTGCCTTTTTCATCAATGAAGCATCTCAGTTTTATTTCAAGTTTTCCTAATTCTGAATGTTTCTGTGATATTTGTCCCCAAGCTAGGCAAACTAGGATTCCTTTTCCTTTGAGTCAAATTACTTCCAAAAGAGCATTTGAATTAATTCATGTTGATACATGGGGACCCTATAAGGAATCCACTTACAATGGCTTTAAGTACTTCTTGACTATTGTGGATGACTTTAGCAGAGGAACTTGGACCTTTTTATTAAGCACAAAGTCTAATGCTTTTTCAGTTTTGAAGGATTTTCTCAATATGGTTGAAAGGCAATTTGGGGTGAAGGTCCAGAAACTAAGGGCAGACAATGCATTTGAACTAGGTAAAGGCTCTCAACAGGCTGCCTTCCTTAGTTCTCAAGGGATTTTGCATCAAACATCTTGTGTAGCCATACCTCAACAGAATGGGATTGTTGAAAGGAAGCACAGGCACCTTCTAGAAATGGCAATGGCTTTGTTGTTTCAATCCAAGGTGCCTATACCATACTGGGGAGAATTCTTGTTGACAGCCACATATTTGATCAACAGGCTGCCATCTAAGGTACTTCATGGCAAGACACCTTTTTCTATATTGTTTAACCAATCACCTTCTTATGAAATGCTTAGGAGTTTTGGATGTCTTTGTTTTGCATCTACCCTATCTGGTGGAAGGAACAAATTTGAGCCTAGGGCTAAGGCATGTGTTTTCTTGGGATATCCTATGGGTCAAAAGGGATATAAAGTGCTAGAATTAGACATAAAGAGAGTTGTTGTATCCAGGGATGTTCACTTTCATGAAACCAAATTCCCTTTTGCCTCAAACACCTTGTCTCCAGATCTTATCTTCCCTACTCCCACACCAGTAGAAACAACCTTACCTGAACCTTCCCCAAACTCCCCTTTACCTGAACCTACCATTTTTCAAGCACCCGGTCCTTCTAGAACTCACTCACCAATCAACACTACTCTTCAATCTCCTCAGTCTTCCTATCCCTTTGGTTCTATTAGCTATGAGGAGCATCCCACACCTACACCAGCAGTGAGAAAATCCACCAGAGTCACTACATGGCCTAGTCATCTAAAGGATTTCATTTGTAACAACATCTACCTCACAGACCTGACCACCTCATGTTTTGTTCACCCTTCCCAACCTAATATTTTTTCTTTTGGAGCCCTCTCTAGTCATAATCAGCAGGTAATGCAGTCTATATCAGCTATCTCAGAACATAGCAGCTTTTCTGAAGCCTCTAAGCATCCTAGGTGGCAGCAAGCAATGCAATCAGAGATTGATGCTTTGAAAACTAATCACACTTGGGATGTAGTTATCTTACCAAAGGGAAAGAAAGCTTTACCTTGTAAATGGGTATACAAGGTCAAACATAATTCAGATGGGTCTGTTGAAAGGCTTAAAGCACGACTAGTAGTCAGGGGGGACATCCAACGAGAAGGCATAGACTACACTGAGACATTCTCCCCTGTGGTAAAAATGACCACTATACGATGCTTATTAGCCATTGCAGTCAAGAAAGACTGGCCTATTCATCAAATGGACGTCAATAATGCATTCCTACATGGTACTTTGCAAGAAGAGGTTTTTATGAAGTTTCCAACAGGATTATCTCCACCTACTGTCAACCATGTGTGTCTACTGAAGAAATTATTGTATGGGTTAAAACAGGCATCACGACAGTGGTATGCCCGTCTTGCAGGTGCCTTAAGTTATAAAGGCTACTCCTCATCTCTAAATAATTACTCCCTATTTTTAAAAGGAGGAATAGCCTAATCTCAGTTGTAGCTATTTATGTTGACGACATACTCATTAGTGGAGATGAAGCAGAAGAGATTACTGATCTTAAGTCCTTTCTCAACACTGAATTCAAAGTCAAGGACTTGGGAAACTTACATTACTTTCTAGGCATGGAAATACTTCGAGAAAAACAGGGCATAATTATGTGTCAAAGAAAATTCATCTTGGATTTATTGAAGGAGTTTGGTGTCTCTGCTCTCCCTTGTGTTTCTTCACCTCTGGAACCTTCTGTCAAATTGAGTGCTGAAGAAGGGCCTTTGCTAAGTGATCCCACCATTTATCGACACCTTGTGGGGAAGCTGAACTATCTAACCCACACAAGGCCCGACTTATCCTTCACAGTCTTGAAATTAAGTCAGTATATGCAGCAACCTAGGTCTTCTCACTTCACAGCTGCCCTTCGAGTATTGAGATACTTGAAATCAGACCCAGGACAAGGGATTCTTCTAAATTCCGATCCCTCACTCTCTTTGTTAGCGTTTTGTGATGCTGACTGGGCTTCTTGTCCAGAGAGTCGAAGATCTGTAAGTGGCTTCTACATCACTCTTGGGGGATCTCCAATTTC